CCATGGGGACTGAGTAAGTCGGTTATAAGTAGGGTTATAGTTGGGGTAACTCCCTTTAGGGTACTGATACCTCTACTTATAGCCTACTTACTAAGCCCCCTGGGCCTCCAAGTAAACCCTAATCATCCCTGGGGTTTAGGGTTTAGGGTTTAGGGTTTAGGGTTTAGGGTTTAGGGTTTAGGGTTTAGGGTTTAGGGTTCCCTAGACCCGAAACGCCTAAAGCCTGAACCCGAAACCCTGAACCCTAGACGGTAGGTTTTGGCTTACGGCATCCTTTCTGTTGTGGGGCTTTGCTTGAAAACCAAAATTCTACTGGAAGGTTTTGAATAGCCTAGCTGCGATTTAAGGTTCCCAGAGACAACAAACCCTTCAACTATGGGGTTTTCGATTGGAATCTAGTCTAAACCCTAACTGGGCTTTGAAGTAACCAGCGGGACAAAAGTGTAGACTCGTATTTCATACTGGCTAGCGCGAGGTTTCGAAGTTTTAGCCTTTCGGTTCTCGCAGGGGCACGGTCCGTGGTCATCGTGGCTTTCAGACTATAGGGTTTTAGGTTTTGGGATTTTGGGTTTAATTCGGGCCTAAGTTAAGGGTTCAGGGCCGGGCTCTGAATTCGCAGGCGGCTTTGGCAGAGCTCGAAAATATTTCGAGGTGTGGGGGTCGTAGGGATGACCGGTTGATGCAGAATATTCGTGGTGCGAGAGATCCTTTCAGATAGGATGCTCCTGCTCGCATGTCTACTGGTGCCTTGTGTTGGGAAGCTCTGCAACAGTGGCTAACTACCAACCCCACAACCCTCAACTCCTCCAACCTGGATAGCCCTTTTAAAACCGACAGCGCGAAGTGTCAGCGCCCACAGTGGGATCCCGGATCTCCCGCCTTGTGACCAGCTAAAAAAGGCATTCCCTGATGCACACCGCGGGCTGGCACCATCATCGGCATGGGATCTCGAAGACAAGGGAAGCAAGGCAACGAGTCTGGACCCAAGCTGCGGGCAAGAAGAGAATATCGGATACAGGAGTGAGAGCAACATGAGAAGCAATACGAACGACAAGAGCAAGAACGCTTCCTTGCCTGACTTCCCGAAAACCTATTCGCTGTAAGATCCTGGCCCCAAACCCCAAACCCTAAGACTCTAAACCCGAAGCCTCATCCATAAGCCAAGCCCATGGACCCAGCCCTTCAGCCAAACTTCTACCAAAACCCTAAACTGTCAGCCTAAGCCCCTAAACCCTAAACCCTAAACCCTAAACCCTAGACCCTAAAAGCCAAAGCTCCTTAGGGTTTAGGGTTTAGGGTTCAGGGTGTAGGGTTTAGGGCTTAGGGTTCCAACCGAGATCCCAAACTTTTGAGGCAAAGGTCCTCAAGGTGTCATGTCTACTGTTTTCGCAACAACTTTACTACCCAAAGCAGCGGGCGGCCTGAAAGATCATGAATACTTTGTAATTAGATTATAAGACAGATAGGTAGAAGCATCCCACTTCGATTGTCTGACATTACCTCCACTTTTAAAACTACTGACTAAGTCCCGTGATCCTTGTGCCCCTAAGCGGCACACAGGCAGTGGGGTCTAGGATGTAGGGTTTCGAGCAGAGAGTTTTTGGGGTTTAAGGAGTTTAAGCTTTAGGGCTGCAGCGGTTCATGAGCCATGCAGCTGTCGAAAGCCACGCCACCTGCTTGCAGAAAACTGTTGCTGGACTTCACTCCCGTGGTTCTTAGCGGCTGATTGCGACACCTGGCATATCGTCTGCCTTTCTGCAAGCACTTAGGATCCCTCGCCTGCTGTCCTGCAATTGGGGCAAGGGGTTTAGGGTTTAGGGTTTAGGGTTTAGGGTTTAGGGTTTAGGGTTTAGGGTTTAGGGTTTAGGGCAAGGTTTACGGACTGAAATAAGTTTCCCGTCACGGCAGTGTGTCCAGACATGCGCTTTTGAACTTCTGGTCGTCCAGCTGATCTTTGCAGAACAGTCAAAGTGGGAAGATCTGGGACATCCTTGTGATGTCGAGACTTTGCCTTCGCCTGTCTGTTCGGGCAAACGCATAACTGTTCAATAAAAGCAAATTCATGACCGATACTTAGATCGGCTCTCTGTTAAGTAGGCTGCTGCGCCAGCAACAGCTATACACAGGCTCATAATGCACATTGCGCACGTGCTAGCCCATACTGCTGCCCACAACTTCTGCGGCACCCAAAACAGTAGACTCCGAATGAATGGTAGTTGAAGAGTGGCAACAGCAGCAGCGGCACCACTGCTGCTGCTGCTGCTGCCACTGTCGGGGATCGTCGTGGTGCTCATGGTGACAGAGGTGTCTGTAGTAGCTGAGGGGGGTGTTGGAGTGGCGGCGACAGTTATGATGGCGCGGTCTAATGTTACCCGTGACGGTTGCGACGATTGCGACATGTGGATCTACCAAAAAGAGCCCGGAAAAAGAGTCTGATGAATCGAATGCCTCCTTGATGCGCAAACTTCAAACAACCGGCCCTCCCTGCAAGAGACCAATCTCTTGCAGCCTGAGACCTAGTGCACAGGCTGTGGGCAGCGAGGTGCACAAGCACAAAGATCACAAGACGAATTACGAACAGCTGATTCTGCCAGCTTTCTGGAAGACGATATTAAAAGCAATTGGAACCACAGCAAATAAAACGGACGCTGCTTCCCGAGGCTTTCTGCTGATGTCAAGCGCGCTGAAACCAACACAAGTCTTATGGCCACGACTGACCCGGGCCCGGCACCCAATTCCGAAATACTTGGAAGACACTAGGGGCGCTGGATCTGAATAGTTAGCAAGAATACGCCCTGTAGTTGCACTCCACCGAAAAATACTGAAGCGATAGTATACACGCAAACCCTATTCTAAGTACCAAGTATCCATGATGTCTGCCAGGGATTCTAAGGCTGTGCTTACGGCAGTCGGGTTGCAGGATGCCTACCATGACAATGTTAGTCTCGACCAAGACCCATCGCATTCGATCCCGTTTCACCTCCCATGAGTACGACAACATGAAAATATGTCGGGTTTAGCGACTCAGGGCAACCGGCTGCAGGCATCGCAAGGTCACGAGCTTGTAAGGATTCACGCCTGTTCA